ATATGTGTATTTATGCAGCAGCAAACAGTATCTTACATGCTTTCAGCAGTGGCACCTGTGTATCTCTTAGCAGTAGCAAGTTTGTATTTGCTCTGCAGCAGCAGCGTAGCTAGTCTAGTCTGTCAAGACCAAAATACATGAACACATTCAATAATATGCTAAAACTACTCAAAGAGTTGGCATATTTGAAATGTGTATAGACAATTCAGTCTTTATTTGAGAGTTGATTTGATTTTGGTTGATTTATTAAGTATGTAGGGGATAATACATGGCAAGCTGTGCATTAAACGATTTTAGTGCACGGCGTGGAGGCAAAGTATTTTATTCACGCTGATAGGCAGCCTGGACACCATGAACCAAATTTTCGCGAGATATATAATTTTCGCGAGATAGGGAACAATCACAGACGGGGAGGGAGTGGCAAGACGATGACGACGTACATGCGACACACGAAGCAGTTTGTTTATATCTATGGATCCATCTTGGCAGTGGATGCGGTTACCTTTTGATTCAGCCTTTGTGTATACATAAATCTCTAAATCTCTGACCCATCATCTTCTTTCCTTGTCTAATTTTCTGTCGCTCTACATACGTCATCTGGTATTATTGAAAAATTGGCTATGAGTTATGTACAGGCACATTTGATAGTCATTCGTAGCACCCAATAATACAGCTCTGGGCATTCGTAAACCAATGCCTCGTCTGGGCATTCGTAAACCAATTTGAATTAGCGTTTGGCAACAGGGGAGCCGCCTTGATCTATGTTGTATTCTTTTCTTAGTATTTGTTATTTATTTATTTATTTGAGAGTTCAGATGCAAAAGCCTGCCATTTGAAATTTTCTTCTAAAATGATCATTTTTATCAAGCTTGTATATTTAAGTTCATGATTTCACTTAAATTGCAATGATAATTACCTATTAATTGTAATTTAAGTGAAATTACTGAACTTAAATATACAAGTTTGATAAAAATCATCATTAAAGAAGAAAATTTCAAATGGCATTTAGAGGCTTTTGCATCTGAACTCTTCATTTACTTATTGTGTTTTAGTGTATCAGTCTGTGTTTATTGTTTTGTGTTTTTAACTGTGAAGTACTTTGGTAAGCCTAGGCCTTGGAAATGTGCTATACAAATAAATGTGACATTGACATTGACATTGACAATGCCTCAAATATGAGAAAATGAACATGTGGTTTCCAGATCATGTCTCATTCTCAATGATACGTGGTCTTGCATTAGCCAGGCTAGAGGCAAAGCATAATGGTTGTGCATTCAAATTGTTTAATGCACAGCTAGCTGTGCATTATCCTGCTTATACCATGCTCATTTGCCAGCATTGACAAGTTAAAGCTGTTATTGATGTTTTTTAAGCGCAGTATTTAACTGAGGGTAAAAACAGACGTAATTTTTGGCACGTCTGTGTGTGCAAAGCAGTGCATTAATAATTAAGTTAATTAATAAATGTGTTATTGATAGAAACTGTGATTAAATCGAGTATTCAGACAGACCATGGTATAAATGAATGATGTGGTTGATAAATGATTAAATAAACATTTATTTTTGGTCATCATTAAGCTAAATGAAAACTTTGATTTCAGTTTCAGTAAAAAAAGAATAATTTCATTGCAACACTAAAAATGTTACTTCGGCAGGGGCTGGAGTCATTACACACTCAACTGAGTTATATCATTAAAGATTTAAAACATTTAAATAAACAAATCAAGTATTAAAAAATGTGTATGTAGTATTTTCGTTCATCACTCTTGTGAAATCTCTGATTTCTGAGACATACAAAGGAAATTTGATTTGTGATCATGCTCTGCTAGTTTCACTCATTTGTGTATCATATGCCATTTAAATGTGTTAAACCTCGAACACACTACTATATCAAATAGTAGAAAATGTGTATGATGTAGTTTTGTTGATGTATCACTCTTGTCAGAGCCCAGGCAACACGACAATTTTATTTGCGATCTCGCTCTGCTCGTATCATTTATAAAGTTTACATTCGTTCACCTCACATTTATTATTGCATAGTGATTTTAGAGGTTTATGTGTAATATATTGCTATGCTATCCCTGGCTCACCTGTTAGCCAGCAAACACGAGTGAATGGGTCTGCCAAAAAAAGATTATGTTATTCATTAATAAGGCATTCAAGCTCGGGCACATCTCTATTCCTAACATCTTTTTTTTTTCAGTCCTTAAATTTATGAACTGACAGTATGAGGATACTATATTACCCATATACAGCTGGATATAATGTTGTAAAAACAATTCTGATGATGTGAAAGCTAATTCAAAGAGTGCTCGGGATGTCTTATTCTCCTCTGTTTCTTCTATAAAGGACCTGAACTGCCTGTTTGAAATTTACCTGAAGCCCCTACAAAAGGAGACCTTTCTCACCCAGGACGAGGTAAAGCTAAACCCATACTGGAGATAGATGCAAGATTAGTTGTCAGATAACAGATAGCACAGTGATCCATCTTGCTTCATTTGCCACAAGCTTTCCCCTCTGTGACTGATGTCAAAGACTCGCACGTTTAACTTGGCAGTTTTCAGACTGCCGCCCAGTGAACTGGATATGACCCTGACTCGGCTCAGGATGTCCCTAAGGAAAGATCAGTCAATATGTGCAGAGAAGTGGGCCATATTAAAGCCCTGTTAATGTACGCTGGAGCATGCCCTCGCACATATTAGACGAGTACTAAACAGAAAGTGGCTTTAGCACTGGTTTTTAAGTTACTTGTGACAATGTGGGTGGCAATACCAATTTAGAAAGAGGCCAGTGTTAGAAAGTCTATGCTAAGGAAATCTGCAGAGTCCATTTTCTGTGAAGTACTACATTTGTACCCTGTTATGTAATTTTCGCTTTTATTTTAAAGGTTTTGTTAAACAGCTTTACACACTGAAATCCCTTGCTTGCATGCTGTTTTCATTTCAATCGAAATATTGAAAGTTCTGTTTAATGGTTGAGGGTTTCCTTTCCCCCAGATGGAAAGTCTTTTTGGCAGCCTTCCAGAAATGCTGGACTTCCAGAAAGTTTTCCTGCAGACCCTGGAGGAAAAGATCAGCTCCTCCCCCAACTTCCACACGTTCGAGACCCCTGTGCAATTCAAGGTGGACATGCCAAACATGGCTTTCCTCATACTCTCGTCTGTAATTTATGAGCATTTTAGTAGAGCTCCCTGTTTTGGGAATAACATTTTTTTTAAGTTAAAGGACTAGTTCACTTTCAAAAAAAACTTTTGCTGATAATTTACTCAACCCCAAGATGTCCATGTCTTTCTTTATTCAGTCAAAAAGAAATTAAGGTTTTTGATTAAAACATTTCAGGATTTTCTCCATATAATGGACTTAAATGGGAACCAAACGGTTCAAGGTCCAAATGAGAGTTTCAGTGCAGCTTCAAAGGGCTTTAAACGACACCAGACGATGAATAAGGGTCTTATCTAGCGAAACGATCGGTCATTTAAAAAATAAATAACAAAGTTTAAGTTTTATAAGCAAACAAATGCTCGCCTTGCCCTGTTCTGTGATGCGCGTTCGTGACTCTCCTGTTCAAACTCGTTCATCAAAATGAACAAATCTTTTTTCAAGTCATGACTCGAAGGCAGTGGTGGAATGTAACGAAGTACAAATACTTTGTTACTTTACTTAAGTACATTTTTCACGTATCTTTACTTTACTTAAGTACAATAAATAGTGCATACTTTTTACTTTTACTTCGTTACATTTTGCAGCAATTATTATACTTTCTACTCCTCTACATTTCTACAACTTCTGTTACATTTTCTGATCAGTTTTTCTCCTGACAAAACGTAATCTGACCATCCGTTCGTTGCACGTTTGTCTCACCAGTGACGTTTGGTTGCCATAGATACAGTATATCAACCCGGTCACACTAAATGCGTCTCGCACGCAGTGTGTTTATCATGCAACTCATACGCGAAAATTTGTTTTTACGTGCATAGGAAACACACCGTGTGTAATATATGTTTGGTTAGGATTATGGCAAGCCAAGAGGTTCAGAATTACACCATAAATTAATCGCGTTTACTGCCAAACATAGATATTAACATATAGTAAGGATAAGCATGATATTGCCTAATTGCAAGCTTGTTTCAGAAATGGTGACATTTTTTTCCATCATTATTGAACATCATTATAGGAGTAGGCTATTAGGTTGAATGAGTTAGAATTAAATGTGTTATTAATATAGAAAATAGACATTAAGATTATAAATTGTTATGCAAGTACTTTTACTTTTAATACTTAAAGTACATTTAAAATAAAGTACTTTTTACTTTTTACTTAAGTATGGTTGTCATTGTGTTACTTCTACTTTTACTAAAGTAAATATTTATCTGGTTATTTGTACTTTTACTTAAGTACTGAGATTCAGTACTTCCTCCACCACTGCTCGAAGGGTCCTAGATTAGACCCTTATTCATCGTCTGGTATCGTTTAAAGCCCTTTGAAGCTGTACTGAAACTTTGGACCTTGAACTGTTTGGTTCCCAATGGGGTCCATTATATGGAGAAAATCCTGGAATGTTTTCATCAAAAACCTTAATTTCTTTTCAACTGAAGAAAGAAAGACGTGGACATCTTGGATGAGATGGGGGTGAGTAAATTATCAGCAAAAGCTTTTTTTTTCAGTGAACTACTCCTTTAAAACAATTGATCGCCCTTTTTTTAATTCTGAAAAAGTTTTTTCTTCTTCCATGGAACACAAAAGGGTTTATTGATTTAGTCACAAAATGTGGCAACTCATGGCAACTCAAGTTTGAATGTGCAAATGCAAATGAGGGAAAGATTTTCAACTAAAAAGCTGAGTAAGACTTTGTATATAGCGGCGGAGTCATCTAGGGTATGTTTATTGTTCTAAATGAATTTTTGTTAGTTTTGGAGCCCTGTATGGTTTGATTATGATAAAGAGCAGCTCGAGCATATTGACTGCAAAACTGCCGCTTTTGTGCTTCATGGAAGAAAATCAAAGAGGTTTGGAGTGACTTGTGGGATGGGTAACATTAAAACTGTTACTTAAAGGGATACTTCACCTCTGGAAAGATGAATGCGTATATAAAATGGGTCATTTGTGTAGAAAAAATGTGAAATTATTTTTGAATTTGGAGCTTTCTGGACTGAGAAAAGCCAGAAAATGTAGTTTTGGCTTATGTGGATGAACTCCCAGAATGCACTTGCTTCGCTGCCCTAGGAGGCCACGCCTACCGTAACAGAACGCAGTAGTTAAACAACAAGTCTAGAGTCTACTAGTCAGTCTCCGTGATGGGTCTGCATGCGGGACAGCCCCTACTACTGACTGTAGTCTTCAGCCTCTGGCCACAAATGACGCAAAATGATGATTTTTGCGTCATCGGAGGATTTTTTTCATAAAATACATAAATCTCTCGTCTCAGTGGGATAAGAGGGTGGAAAGCATGGTAATTCGAAAATACTACAGGTTTTCTAATAATACAAAGCTTAATGCTACATCCAGAAGTATCCCTTTAAAGTATTTCTGACTTCAGCGAAAGACTTTCTTGATTTCAATGCTGTCTTTCTTTCTTTCTAGAAGCTGCTCTTCTCACTGGGTGGTTCGTTTCTGTATTACGCAGAGCACTTCAAACTTTACAGCGGCTTTTGCGCCAACCACATTAAAGTGCAGAAGGTTCTGGAACGAGGTACAGCATAACTCCTAACTCGCTTCATCTGTGACTGTGAGCAATAGAATACAATATTTCTATTAAATATAGAAGAATTTATCCAACTGAATGCAATCTGCGTCGCTCTTCTGGGATGTTTTGAGCCTTTGTTGGTTTATCTTCTCATCATAATCTACAGAGTATTAATGATTAGCGTCTATAAATGTTGAACTTAATTTATGCGTGCAACATTAGCCTGGTTCTCCATCTCGGGCAGTCTGCCCAGTAAGAAATGAATGAGAGGCTGCCCTGCCCACATTTAAAGTGGAAAACTGTACCATGGCCTCCTTTTTAATTCATCCCATTACAAGATGAGAGCAATCCTCAGAGCAGCCACAGAAATTGCACTGTAATGGCTATAAAACACAACACGCACTGTTTTAACCACTGCTGGGTGAGGACATGAAACGCAGGCGCGACAACAGGAGTGTGTGTGGCAATGTCTGTCAGCGGTACTGGTAATTATATATTCTCACACACTGCTTCTGTTGTGCCAAGGTTTCCGTTTGCAAAATGAAAACGACTTTTTTGTGTCGTCGTGTTAATTGCCTGCCAATTGCTCCCTGAAGTGTCAATCCATCTGGGGCGAGGAGTGCCTCAATTACTGCTCTAATAGCTCTTGATTTGAACCACATTTATCATTCTGCGTGCTGTCGTGGTGTTAACTCCCCTCACAAACTCCCGCCAAGACAGGTCAAAAGGCTTCGTGACGTGCACAATGTAGTCTCACCTTGGTATTGTTCATTGTCTGCAGTGTTGCATTTATACTGCAGTGTTTTTAATGAGGTGCCAGGGAGCCTGTGCTGCCTCCTTGTGGAGGGACTTCTCTGCCCTGTGTGCATTTTACCTGCAGCGCCCATCCAGAAAACACTATCTATCTCCTCAGGGGGTGGCGCTGGAATTTATGATTTGTCTTTTCTCTCCAGCCAAAACAGATCGATGCTTTAAGGAGTTCCTCAATGCAAAGAATCCCACCAAGCAGCACTCGACCACACTGGAGTCCTACCTCATCAAACCAGTGCAGAGAGTGCTGAAATACCCCCTGCTGCTCCGCGAGCTGGTGTCTCTGACGGACACGGACAGTGAGGAACACTACCACCTCACAGGTACGTCACATGGGCTGCTTCAGTTTTAGTGGGTGGGTTGAGTTTTGAGAGTCTCTGAGCTGCCCTTTTCATGCGATGAAAGCGCCAGTGGCCAGTGTGGGAATTGTTCAAAATAGCATGAATGGGTAAGACAAAACAAATTCTGGGATTATAATGGGCATTCCCATTACAAGATGATGACAATAACAATATTTTCAGCAAAATAATCGACAGTAAATTGTCTTGGAAGCCCCATATCAGACACATTAAAAAAAAAATCTCCAAAAGCCTCTCAATTATAAACAAAGCAAAACTATACCTTGATAAAAATGCACTCCGTACCCTATACTGCACTTTGGTACTACCATACCTTATGTATTGTGTTGAAGTGTGGGGAAATAATTATCAGAACACAATAAATCCTCTGATTATATTACAGAAAAGAGCCATGAGGGTCATTCATAAGGTTGGTTACTTAGAACATACTCATAAGCTGTTTAAGCAGTCAAATTTGTTAAAACTTGATGATCTCGTAAAATATAATACAACAATAGTCCTGTATAAAGCATTTAACAACTTATTACCGCCTAACTTGCAACGTTTTTTTCAAATTCCTGTGCGAGCTCATAACTTGAGAGGCTTTGGATATTTTTCGTTACCAAGAGCCCGAACTACTCGTAAACATTATTGTGTGTCTGTATGCGGAGTGAAACTCTGGAACAAACTGCACTTACAACAAAAGCAATGTCAAAATATCCATCAATTTAAATTGTCATATAAACATAGGGTCTGGTTAAAATACAGAGATGAGGATTTTTAATTTATATTGATGTTGTACTCTGTCTTATAATGTTAACATGTGCTCAATGTTTCATTACCATCGTTGGTATATTGTCCATTACCATTGTTGGTATATTGTCCATTACCATCATTGGTATATTGTTCATTACCATTGTTGGTATTGTTTATTCCTCTTAAATTGTTTGGTAATGTTGTTATAATGAATTCTTGTGGCTGTGGTAACGCCACCATGATACAACCTATGTAAACAATCCGTGACCAAAGTAAACATGAAGCTTAATGTATTAATCACCAAGTGGTGAACTGGGGTGGGATTAAATAAGTTTTCTTCTTCCCACTCCCTTTCAGGCAGAATTCGATTTGTTTTGTTTGTTGTGTTTTTTTTTTGTTTTTTGTTTTTTTGTTTTTTTGTGTTTCTTGTTTCTTTTTGCACTGTATGACTTAACAAACATTTGTCTGCCTTGTACTTTTGTGCTATTGCCTGAAATAAAAAATAAAAAAAATAAAAAAAATATATATATATATCATGTCACAAAATATCGCAATATAAAAATGCAACAATATGCATCGTGAATAGTGACAATATGAATTGTGTATAATTCACCTAAAATTAAAATTACTGTGAGAGATTCAAGTTTTCAGAATTGCAGTGTCAGTACTACTATATATAATCATGAATATAATGTATAATAATGCAATTGTGGAATATTTGTGGGTCCTGATAATGCCAAATGTCTGATGTTTCCAGTAAAAAGTGGCCTACATTATTTTAAATATGTCTAGTCAGTGTCAGTGTGCAAACATATTCGTCTAAACTAATTCTGTAATTTCAGCTGCTGAATCAATATTTTTATTCTGGTGTCATTATTGTCCTGTGCATTGGGTTCAAAGTCCGAGCCTATTCACTTACACACACAATGTAAAATCAAATGTTGCATTTTATTCAACAGTTCCACTCTTTTCCATATGTTTTGGAGTATCACAATACTATTGTATCATGAGTTGAGCATCTACCTAAAACTGCAGTGAACATTTTGGTGCAAACTCAGTTTTCTGGAATCAAAGCCCAGTATGAATGTATCTTAAGACAGTTTATTATTATTATTATTATTATTATTACAGAGGCACTTAAGGAAATGGAGAAAGTTGCAAGCCACATAAATGAGATGCAGAAGATCTACGAAGACTATGGTGCAGTATTTGACCAGCTGGTATCAGAGCAAAGTGGCGCTGAGAAAGAGGTACAGACGCATATATAGTGACCAGGGCATATATATAATACCCTGATTTATTTGAAGGTAATACCCTGACTTGACTTATCTTCAGTTATCTTCCTCTTTTTCTCCCAGGTCACAGAGATTTCTATGGGACAGTTCCTCATGCATTCCTCTGTGATTTGGCTCAACCCGTTCCCATCACTGGGCCGTATGAAAAAGGACCCTGAGCTGACTGTTTTTGGTGAGGCTTTGCTATTTTCCCATGAAACCATTACATTCTTAGTTGTGCCAAAATAAACGTTTTATAACTTAATATGTTAGTAGTTTTACAACAAATGCATAAATCTACTTCTTAAACATTCTGAGGCATAATATATGGGATAGTTCTTGTGCCATACAACACTCGTCTTGAAGCTTTTTATATCCTTGTGAAAGTATGTTGGGCTTGTTTTGGCAGACGGTCTGTAGCCTCAAAGACAAAGAATTCTGTCGTTTTCTAAAATTAACATATCCGCTTGACTCTGATCTATCTTCTGATTTATCTGATTTATCTTATCTTTAGTTTTTAAGAGAGCTGTGATACTGCTGTACAGGGAGAACAACAAAGTGAGAAAGAAGATGGTGAGTCTTGTTTTCACCTCGTCTAATTACACTCGCAGCTCCTTAATGTCCCGTCAATTTGTCATTTGTTTTTCATGCATTATACTGTGACAAGTTTAGAAAACAATACTAAATAATAAATATGAGCAGTCCTTTTGACATATAAAAATACAGATTTTGGAACAAAATGGTTTTGCAGATTGCTTTTTTATAAATGGTGTTTGCTGATTTGGAGTTGTGGACTTTATACATTCGTATAGTGCAGTTTTTTTTTTTTAAACAAATATACATTCCTTTAATTTCATATGCATCCTTTGTTTGCCAGCCAACTTCAAGATCCGCCCATGGAGATCAGGATCCATTCAAGTTTCGTTGGCTCATCCCCCTGTCAGCACTACAGGTCAGACTGGGCAATACTGCAGGTAACAGACACGTCTGGCTTGTTTGAGCTCAAAGAGACAGTAATAATTAACAGTTATTTTTAAATGTACAAATAACAAACCTTGCATTTTAATTCGGTCTGAAGACACAGACTGCGTCTGGGAGCTGATCCACACCAAATCCCAGAGAGAGGGCAGGCCGGAGACGGTGTTCCAGCTGTGTAGCAGGTAAGAATGATCTACTTGCTCATTTATAAACTTAGCTTATTCCATTCCTTAACATTTGACATTTTTCTCTCACTTGCAGCACTCCAGAGTGCAAAGTCATCATCATCAGGGTGATGCGTTCCATCCTGCGGGAGAACTTGCGTCGAAACATGCAAAGAGTCGAGCAGCATTCTGAGAGAGTCTGCAAAAAGAGGCTCACCCCCCTTCGGAAAACGTTGCCAGCTTCTGCTAAGCTAGGTCAGTGTGACCTCCCCTTTACTCACATGTCTGATGATGTGGAAGTGTTAAAGCTGCACATTACAGATCCATCGCTATAATCTTGAGGCAAGACTTCAAAGTCTGTTGACCGTTGGTAAAAAATGACTACATCACAAGCTGACTTTGAACTTATTAAAATACATAACCATGGTCATAGCGGTTAACTTAACTAAAGTGGTTAACTTTTATGGGTCGCAATGCTGTCTGTCAAACAAAAGGATGTTGCAAGTTGGCTTGTTCGATATTGTACATGATAGTTTATCATAAATTAGAAAGGACCAGCTTTTGTATCATGTTATGTTGAAAAACAAACAAAAATATGGTAGAAGACGAGAAAATGGAGAAATTCAAGTCTCATTAACACAGAAAAATGAGTACTGGAGATGCAAACAAGGATAAATTTCGTGTTTTTGTACATTTTTCTTAAAATAAAGTTGACTTTGTCACAGCTCCATGTCATATCATTGATACTTAAATATCATACTACTTTATTACTGTCAGAACAACCCGATGTTGAAACCAAAGCTTCACACCAGAGTCCATTCAGCATGCTCCTGTTTATTTTATTTTAAAATAAAACCAAATAATCCACATATATGATGGCCTAAACACACACACTTTAATTTGATGGAGAAAAAAATCTCTAAATTGTCTGATCAAACGCTTGCATTTTCCGAGATTACTGCCTAATTTCGGGAACAGAATGAACAAAACTTCACTAAGTCGCCATTCTGGATAACTACTGTAGTATTGAAAGGAAACATATATTCGATGGACAGCAACTGTGTGGCAATTTGGGCTGTCGTAGGGTCAATTCACTTTAAAGCAGTGGTTTTCAGTCCTGGTCCTGGAGACCCACCGCTCTGAACATTTTGTATGTCTCTCTTTTCTGACACACTCATGCTGTGTCTCAATTTACTATGCCTTTAAAAGCATGTACTGTTTTTGTGAAGAAGTACATATTTTTGAATGTGTAGCAGAAACACATAAGCAAGCTTTGGGACATGCATCATAATTGTGTCTTTAACAGATAACTCTGTTAGAGGGCAGTTAAAACGCTGACAGGATGCCTATAGCTGTCAATCATCTTGCCACAATTAAATCGATTTAATTTAATCTCTTTCTATATCGGAGAGAAGTGCTGTAACACATTGATCTGCCAGCCGTGGGTTTTTCATGCGTAGAACTCTCTTCGAGTATTTGCAATTTGCATATTGATGCAATTAAAAGTTAAAGACCAAAAATATCACTATAAAAGTTCTCAATGCTGTTGCAGGTTAATTATAACGTAATGTGGATCACATTGAATAAATATATTTTTGTCAAGTTAGATACGGATTATGAATCACTCAAACCCCTTTATCTAAACGTCCGCTCACACTTACACACATACTATGCTTTGGGACACTAATTATAATTTCAAATGCTATTTAGGATGGATATTATGCGAACTGGGACGCAGCACAGGTTCAATTCATGGAGCTCTCACCTAATGAGCTGAAACTGTGTCGGATAAGAGAGACATACAAAATGTGGTTGGTATCCTGGACAAGAATGGAAAACCTCTGCTCTGAAATGTCAAAGTGTGATGTATTGACCATATTTGACCTTTGATATTTAAAAAAACAAGTGTACTACCCCTAAGATCCACAATTGTGTTTGTGTGTGCACCACAGGTTCTTCTCGAGGATTTTGGCTCTCTAAACTGCCTATAAATGACAGTCCCAACCCCAACAATGATCCATTGAGGCCGTCTCTAGCAGATTCAGATTCCGCCAGTGTGAGCAGTGGAAACACCAGCAGTGCCAGCGCTCCTCTGGATCCGCAGAGCGACCTCAAGGAATCCAGCAGCATCATCAGTGATGAGGACCACGAGAACGTCGACCAGCAGGAGTGGCTCGACCCCAGTGCCATCGAGGCCCAGTTCTGCAGGCTTCGGGTGGCCGAGGACTCCCAGACTCCTGCGCCCCGTGTGCAGCCGGAGAGCGCAGAAGTGGACTCTCCTGAAAGACGGTCTTCTATAAAGCAAGCTCACTTTGGCGCGGTCAAGCGTAAGTCTGGCAGAGGCACGGGTAGCCTTAGACGCAGCCAGGCGGACCTAGTGAACATGCGTCGACACAGCCAATCGTTGGACAGCCAGGCCGAGCTGATGGCGAATAGTGTGGATCTTAACTCACTGCTGGAGAAGGAGTTCAGCGTGCAGAGCCTGACCTCTGTGGTCAACGAGGATTTCTTCTATGACAACACCGCAGAGGCAAAGAACGCAACAGCTTCGTAGAACAAAGATTAGCACGTGTTCAACACCTTGATCTGATGTGGAGCCACAATGCCCATGCCTTTCCAAAGTTATCAGACAATTTAGGGAAGCACCTGAAGGCCAGTCAATTCAGAGTCTTTTTCTATTGTGGAGCCACAGTTTGACAGACCTTTATTAAAAATGGCATTAAGCATCGAGTAATTTTCCATGATTCATACCACTAATGTACTGAACTCCGTTGCACCAGAGAACCAAATTACTGGTCTTGGTTATGGTGTATCAGAAGGGCAAAGGCATGTGTGTTTTCCCCCACACACATATTAAGAGCTATCCAACTACAGAACCGAATTCTGTCAGGTTTTCGTTTTTGATTTTGCCTTGTGTTTTGGGCTATACAGACATTTCTTGCTTTAAATACAAGCATTGGATTTTATCATGGATTTGCTTTGTATAAAATGTTTTATTTATTAGCAAGTTTTTATAAATATAAAATTAATTTTAATAGGGATCTAAAAGGTTGGTTTAAGAATCTGTCAGGAGATGGTTTAACGATAATTTCTCCTTTGTCTTAACAAAGTGGTCAGCTGTAAACATTCAATCAGGCATTTAAATGTGCTATGATGGAAATGTTCCTCGAAAATAAAGCCTGCAGTTGTACTTTTTCTAGAATGTACAAATGTGTAAATATTGTTTTTTCATGGATTACTGTGACTTAATTTGAACAGTTTATATACGTTTGACACTTCACAGTCAAAACCTATAATAAAGGGTGTCTGATTGTTATTTTTGTCCTAATGACATCCTGTAACCTGCACAAACTTTATTTTTGCTGTTTGATAAACATAAACACACAGCAGCCTTATTAATAGGAGTAAGGTCTTAGTTAATACAAAAACATAAATCTTACTAGCACACATGTATCCCAAAGAATATGTCAAATAATTTTTAGGCAAATGTAAAAATGATTAAAGCATTCCTATAGCTGTTTTCTGGGCAACCCCGTCTCTTCCTCTGATCAATACAGAGTCTGAGACTAGAAGCCTCATTTATAAAATGTGTTGAAACGTCAAATGCTGTTTTTATAAATATGAATGTTGGCGTGGATTTTAATGTATGCACTCTCTAATATCAAATCTGTGCATACATGTTTTATAAATAAGGACCATCGAGTTTGATTTGGTTCTTATACTCTTGCCCACAATGTTTTTCAATTTCTACCATAACGTTATGTTAAGCTCCACCGCGTTTTCACCAAAACCTTAAAGAGTGCTTAAGTGTCAAAACCAATGCACTTTTTTTTTTGTTTTGTTGAAAAACATTTTAGCTGATTTAGCCACATTCACCTCAGTGCTGCTGGCTACTCTACTAGTACTAGTCTGCATACTCCATTCAAGAACCAAAAAAAATGCAATTCATGCCAGCTGCTGAAAATGTCACATTGAGAGTCTGCTGTTTCCTGAGTTAGCGGTTCCCAGTAACATTTTCCTCTATTGTGGTGTGAAGGTGAAGCCCTTTACGGTTGCTGCCCGACTGTCTCTTTTCCTGATGCTTGAGTCTCAGCTCCTCTCTGAATTCATAGTCGATGAGGCCTTGATTCTCCTTACAAAGCCGGCTGTAGGCGTCTGCTAAAGCCCTGAATTCAGAAATGGAGATCTCAGTGGGCCGCAGTGTGGGATCCACATCAGCACTGCCCAGCAACTCTTCTGTCAGATCCAGACGCTGAGACTCGGGGAACAGCATCCTGCAGGAAAAAGAAAACACTCATCACACGCTGACACAATGAGTTAATGTAGAAAACTTGAAAAGTTGCATGGAAGTGACGTTATGTGGTCTGTGCGGATGTTCGCTTTGCTTTTCTTGTTTGACGAGCACCGTGACGCCTGTGGTTTATACATCTGCTTGTATTACAGATTGCCTTAAAGTATTTATTGCGCCCGAATGTTGTTTTGGAATGTTGCAAGTTAGGAAGAATTCCAGTGAGGAAAAACAGTCATGACTATTTTTAGAACAAACACAAAACAAACACAACAAAAATACTGTATATAAAAGCTATTCACATGAGCACATTTAAACTATTTTATACATTCATTAATGTGATTCACTGCTAGAAAGAAAAGACATGGCAACTAGTAGCTGACCAGATGCAGACACACAGCTGAAGGAGACTGATAGCATCTGAGGTTCACATGAGGTAACATAAAAAGAAGCAGGGAAGCCAGAAATCTGCCCAAATGGCCCTCACACTCCTCACTCCAATGATAGATACAGGGGTTGGACAAAAAAACTGAAACACCTGGTTTTACTACACAATAATTTGTTAGAATGGTGAGGGCCTCATTTTGCATCCAAATACAGCACCAATTGACAGATAGAAGTCCTTCACAGTGACCAGAGGGATTATGAGCCGTTCCTTTTCCAGAACAGTGTCCAGGTCACTATATGATACTGGTGAACTCGCTCCTCCAAAACACCTCAATAATATTCAGATCTGGTGACTGTCAGACCATGGGAGATGTTCAACGTCACTTTCATCTTCATCAAACCCTTCTGTCACAAGTCTTGCTGTGTGTGTTGGTGCATGATCATACTGATACACGGTTTGAGCATCAGGTGCCAGGTAGTCCTCGGCAGTGTCGTGTCCATCAAATACAATCAGGATTTTCATGATATTGGAGCTCAAACCATCACTGATCCACCCGTGCTTCACTCTGAAGATTGGCCGCCAGGCATATAGATGTGAAACCTCCAACATTGGCCAGTGTTTCAGTTTCATTGTCCAACCCCTGTAACTGCTGAGTTACTTCCAATCCTTATTTTTGTAACACTTTACTTAAAGGGATACTCCACTTTTTCCGGAAATAGGCTCATTTTACAACTCCTCCAGAGTTAAACGGTTGAGTTTTACCATTTTCAAATCCATTCAGCTGATTTTCTGATATTTAGATATTTATCAGATATTTATCTGATATTTATCAGTAACCAGACAGTTTCTGGTCTCATTGACTTCCTTAGTATATATTTTTTCCAACTATGAAAGTCAATAATGAGACCAAAAACTGTCTGGTTACTGATATTCTTCTAAATATCAGAAAATCAGCTGAATGCATTTGAAAATGGTGAAACTCAACTGTTTAACTCTGGGGGAGTTGTAAAATGAGCCTATTTCCAAAAAAAGTGGAGTATCCCTTTAAAGCCTTTATGTATAATGCATTATGAATGTATTTATAATGCACATTATAGGCTAATGCATTAAATCGTATCATAAATAATTGTAACCTAAGTTCCAGGCTGGTGTGCATTACAATACTTGCAGATTCCTAGTTAAATCTGATTGGTTGACATGTTTTAAAGGATTATACTCCAAAGGTGTTCAATGCATAATGAATTAATAATAGTTTTATAATTCATTATACATAAAGGCTTAAAGTAAAGCGTTACCCTTTTTGATGAGTCTTGGTCCACTTCCAAACGAACTCTGGGTGCGATCGCTGAGATACACTCCTTACACATTTTATAAGCTCTTCAGGAGTCAAAATAGCATCATATGAAGGCTAAGCACATTTAGCCCCAAACACAGCATTGTTTTAGATGTTCAGTAATTTCCATTGAGAAATATATGTAATAAAAGCCTACCATTCAGGTTGTGAATGTATCCCTATGCCTTTAGGTTCAGTATCTTTAGGTTTGGTGTTAAAATGCTAATGTGAACGCTAAAAGGAATGCTAAAAAAATATTGGTCCGGACCAGACAAGCCAAGCGAACCGAACTACATGTGTGAACACTCTTGGACTGTCTAAAAGGTTGTAGTTCAAGTCTTTTTTTTTTTTTTCACAACCTTTGTTTTCACAAGTTCCTTGTCCACTCAAGTTATGAGAGTCCAATGCTTCCTGCAGAATCTAGCTTGAACACACTGCACACCAGCCTGGAAGTATGTAGTGATCCTGTTTCTATTAAACACCTTAATTAGCTTCAGGTTCAGGTCACTCCTGACATAACAATGTTTTGCTGGATGCACCGAGGTACACAACAGTACAAGAAATTGCGCAGACTTACTTCAATCTCTTGTTCATTCACCTCTAAATAAGGAGTCTACCCTGATTAAGGCAGCCAGATTAAACACATTGAGAATAGGAGCAAAGAGAGTAGTTTTGAAAAGTAGTTGAAAGAAAGCCTGGGAAATGCTTACTGGAGTCCTGTGCGACAGTGCTTCCTCCGGAACTGGAAGGCGTTCTTGACAATCTTCTCGACCAGCTTGAAGGGCTGCTGGATCTGGGGCTGAGCCAGCGGAGTGAAGTGCACCACCCCCACATCCACCTACGCACACCGCGGGGTGATGAAACAGACACACACACACACACACACACACAGTGTTAGATTCAGACATGGAGACCATATTCAGGAGCTACTGCCACTCGAGTGAAGGTGAGAAACGGAATGTAAACTAGCCAGAAAAAGGAATATACGCATGAAGAAAAGCAGAGGGTTTGGAGAGGAAGCGGTCGGTGATGCTGCATGACGACAGGCCAGTTACGGTTGCTACAGTAACACCTGTTTAAAGGACCATCAAAACACGCCTCTTCAAATGTGAATAGTAAGTCTCTATTTACACTGTTGCTTCCTAAATGTTCTTATGCTGCTGTAGGGGGATGCTCAGCTTTGCTCTGCCCTGGTTCACCGATCACCACAAGGGACGGGGATTCTTTTCATTATGCAAACCCGGCAGACGTCTGCGGTGCCCAGACTAAAATCTGTTTCTCTCGCGTAATTGTGTTATGAAAACATCATTTTGGTCTCTCCCGAACCAGTTACAAACCTGTAGCAGTGCATGATACCTGTGCATGATTCAGTCTTCTATAAAAATGTACGGGAATGTCCCTATAATGGACACGAAAGAAAACACAAACTGATTTGTACTGCATTTCCGGCTCACTGTAGTTTAACATAACCATAAACACCTGGTTGAGCTGCAATCAAGCAGGACTCTTGACTTCGGTTAGATTAAACTCTTGGACTTTAAATACGAGCAGGATAAAAAGCGTTGAAGCTCCTATCTGGGGTTTAAGGCTACAAAAAAGCAATAGACTGAAGAGATGACAGAGAAGTGAAGATGTGACAAGAGCTTTCAGAAACCATTGACTCATCTGCCTCGGCTGTGCAGGAGGAGAACACATTCAGAAAATCAATTTGGCCCACTGTCATTTACCCCACCCGAGATGCTGGTTTTAAACTCAAACACTCAAGCCCTTTTTTCTCAGAGGTCTGAAATTTTGACCAGGTACATTCAAGTCCCTAACAATTCCCAAAGAAACAGGATTTAGGAGCAACCAAATAAAGTTATTTAGCGACCCTTACATTTAATTCAATATTCCACAATAATACTGCCTGCATTGACAATATTATATGAGAACTGAACTGAGCTGGAATACTTCAAAACAAAAAAAACCTCCCTGAACTTACTTGAGCTGGACTGTGACGCTTTTTTTTTTTTTGCATTATTTTCCTGTTATCACTGTAAAGTTGCTTTGAAACAATCTGTATTGTAAAAAGCACTATATAAATAAATGTGACTTGACTTGACCTTTACCAACTAATAATTCTCTTCTGATAAAATAGACTTATGAGAAACCGTCACCTTAAACCATGGGTCACCAATCTCGGTCCTGGAGGGCCGGTGTCCTGCAGAGTTTAGCTCCAACCCCAATTAAACACACCTAAACCAGCTAATCGAGGTCTCACTAGGCATAATAGAAACTTTCAGGCAGGTGTGTTGGACCTGGTTGGAGCTAAACTCTGCAGGACATCGGCCCTCCAGGACCGAGATTGGTGACCACTGCCTTAAACCAATTCCATGCAACTGACCATTGAAAATACATTGTTTGTGGTTAGTCAGTATCATGGCCCAGTTCCATGATTCTCTCTCAGACAACACTCCTGTCTTTGAGTGTGATCTTACAAGAGAAAAACATTACACGCAATGTGTGGAGGTTGTTAATGAGAGTAGTAAGTAAAACGTACCACTACTTGCACCTGAGCAGAAGTGCTACATTACTGCAAAGGGTGTGAAGTTTAATTTGTCGTTTGGAATGAAGAATGATCAAATCGAGGTGGCAGTCCCTCGGGGCAATCTGAGTAACCATTATTTCCTTTACATAACTGCCAGAGAACAATGGAGTCCGCAGCTGGGAATGCATACAGTGAGGGGAAGGAGAAAATAGTCCTGCAATGAGTATGGATACATTAATCATGACAGCACTTTCAAAAGACAACCACTCTTACTTCGGCTCAGATGAAGCAGCAGAAAGAGAGGATGTAACGGTGGAGGCTGACAGGCTTTCGCTAGAGAGGCTTGTTTTTACTGTAAGGTTGTTCGTCCCACGCTCCGTGAATCGCCCAAGGCATCGATGGGAACCAAAGGCACTACTGATGTGCTTCTCAGATGTGAAAGGATTCTCATGGAGTCTCTATCCAGCCTATGAGACTACAGGCTTTTAAGGTGTCTGGCTGAAGACAAGGCAAGATGGACAGTGAGAGTAAGCATGGTAAGAGGGCCGAACACACAGTGAATATTTCAAAACTTTAAGAATGCCAGAAAAGCACGACAACGGCATGCTGAAAACTGAGAAGTTTATCCTTTGAGTTTCCCTCATACAGACGACACCATTGTCAAAACGATCCCAATTCACACGGATCAGTGAAATAACTAAAATCGCTGCATTCTGCTGCCAGGCCATTAGAAGGTGATGAAACGCTATAGACTGAACACGTAATACGCATGTGCATGACGTCATCGTCTTCGTGTTTTTGTTGTTTACAATGAGACTTGTAACTTGAAAATCGTTTTCCAAACTTTGTGTTTTCGGGCACCCAAAAGCATTTTGATTGAACAGTAAATTCATAAGAACAAGCACACAGGCAATAAATCAAGGTAGTGTGGAAACCCGTGCACTCCCCTCTTGGACAGCAGAGAGTAATTTCCATTTATTATCATGAATTTAAACAGCCATTTCTGTAGCAGTCGCAATAAGACCATTTTGACATCTGCGTTACAGGCAAACCGCTACAGCAGGGTAATGAAAAGACTCCAACAGCAATTGTGAATAAACAAATGAATCTCATTCTAAATTATGAAAAAGCACACAAATAGGGGAGGGGGAGGACACCCCTTCCCTGAAGAAATGACAGTTTCAATGTGCACTCAAGCTTCTGCACATGAAACCTAGAGGTGATAAACTCAAGGTAACACGCATGTAATAGCTTTCTGTGCCTTAACACGTCAGCTCCCAACACATCTATATTCCCTGGATACAGTACATGTTAACATCACCCCTTACACATTATTTATTTACTTATCAGCACAATCCAAGCATCAGCACTTAATGCATGTCCTCCAATGTGAGGACATAAACCTCCACTAAAGCCCAAATGCATGTCAATACTTCCAAATATACGAGTATGCTACAACTTCAGCTTCACCGGTGTAGAAATCCTGATTTTTAAACCTGATAAGAGTTTACAGATCTTGTTTACAAAAAAAAAAAACAGGATAGATAGATAGAGAGATAGATAGATAGATAAATAGATGACATTGGTTTCGTCCTTTTATAATTTCTAAACGAATGGCATATAGCCACTCCCACCCTGCAGCGTGGAGAGGACGGATGGAGGACGGAGGGGTTTATAAGGGTGGGGGTGCAGGGGTGTCGGGGTTTATAAGGGTGGGGGTGTAGTGGTTTGGAGGGGCAGCAGCTGTGAGTTCATCCTCCTGCAGAGTGAATGTTGCTGCTCATTGCCAAGTCAAATTATGATTAGGGTGATAGTGGTGCATTGCCGCTATAGTAAAACTCCTTAGCAGGTGAAAGGGACATTTACCATTACACATAATTTGGTAGGTGCCAAAGTGGGTAATGGTTTGTGACAGAAAAAAAGGACATGAGTGTTGGTAGACAATACCAAAACATATCTCTTTTTTCTTCACAGCTTGTTAGAATTCTAGACATTTTAACATTCAGTAAAAAAAATTAAACCGCATATATTTTGATAAAAGGCCACATCTAGTAACAGCATGATAAAAGGTTGTTAAAAATAACAATGATTTGTTATGCACTGACTGAACACAAGAAAAAAAGAAAAAAATATCTGTAACGTTACATCAAAAGATTCACCGGGATTAGATATTCAAGATAACGTTAGACCTACATATCTTAAGCCAGTTTGGTTATCTAGTAACGTTAAATGTAATAATTTCAGGACGTTTTCAATATATTTAAGGTCTTTCCATATTTGTCAATGAGAATTAATCTACTCAATATCCAAAACATTTAATATACATGCCGGAACACTATTAAAATGTGAACAAACCAAGCTATTGAGTTATCCCATTTTTTCCTCATAGAAAAATGTAGACTTAGAGCGTTGAATATTAACGTTAAATAGAATAAAAAGCGTACTAAAAGCGAGGGTTTAAATCGCTAAGGGAGCAAATAACAGACTTTCATGCGCGGGAAGTTAAGAGCTCGCGCTGCTGCGTGACGTAGAGCATCATTCTTCCTAGCAGCTTTGATAACAGCCTCGTCTCTCCATCACTAATGTCCGCTGCTGCTGGAGACACAGATACCATGAACCGATCGTTAACGACACATCTAAGGGCGTTTATACTCGGTTTACATATTTAGCAGTTTGTGTGTGTGTGTGTGTTTATGCTCGGAAACCTGACGCGTCATAGCTCGCTCTGCACCAGCCGAGGTAAGTACAGGATTTCTGCATTCCGCTCCGTGTTAAACCGCTATGAGTCATAACCTAAAACATTTCTGTTATTGCCTTAGTAACACGAAATTTGTGTTGTGCGCTCGTATGTCTGAAACGATACTTTATTTAATTTACCTGACCGTATGGAAAACTGAATCAGACTCCAGTGATCAAATATCGCATCAATGCGTGCATGTACTGCCCCCCCCCCCCCCCTGCTAATAACTCAGCTCTCCAGTCTAGATATGTGCGTGAGGCATGAACAGGAAAGCACTAAAATCACAGTAAGGAACCTGCTTCCTCATCATCCTGTGTTCACGCTTCTCTTTGTTCCCAGTGCGCTGGGGGAGGAGGAGGACACTGGTTTAATTCTCTCACTTGCTTCCTCAGGCAGGCGGTGGTGCTGAGGAGTCTCTGTCGACTGAGAAGGGACTGAGCAAAGCCTGTGTGGATGTTGGCCGGGTTCAGGAGCGCGGCAGGATGGCGTCCACAGGCACGCAGATCTTCGCCTTCGTGCTGGCATTGCTAGGCATCCTCGGTGCCACGGTGGCCACGTTACTCCCCAACTGGAAGGTGAGCGCGGATGTTGGTTCGAACATCATCACAGCCATTTCGCAGATGCAGGGTCTGTGGATGGACTGCACCTGGTACAGCACTGGCATGTTCAGCTGTACGCTTAAATACTCAGTGCTGGCGCTGCCCGCGTACCTGCAGACGGCACGCACCACCATGGTGCTTTCATGCGTGTTGGCAGCTCTGGGGTTGTGTTTGGCCTCTCTGGGTTTGAAGTGCACTCGGTGGGGTGGCGGACGCCGTGCTAAACGCCACGCCGCCATGGCGGCCGGCTCATGCTTTCTGGCCTCGGGCTTCCTCTGCCTCGTCCCTGCCTCCTGGTACACGAATGAGGTTATAGTCAGTTTCCTAGACGCCAATGTGCCGGAAAGCAACAAGTTTGAGCCGGGCGGTGCCGTCTACGTAGCCTTCATCTCGTCTGGTTTCCTTTTCGTGGGGGGATCCATTTTCTGTCTGTCCTGCTCGGGTAAGCGACATGGCCCACAGGATTTGATACTTCTCCCTCCAGACAAACTCCTCATGCAGCAGCAACAGCAACTTCTGCAACAACAGCAGCAACAGGAGCAGCTCCAGCACCAGTACTGTTCTCTCTCACCGCTGGATAACAAGACTGGATACAGCCTGCAGGACTATGTGTAAGAGACCGACCGTTCAAGAGCAAGACAAGTGCGATGCACTGCCACTCCACCTCTTGGCTCTTGTGATTACAAAATGAAAGGGCGAGAGAGACCCTTTTCCTTTCCTTTCCACCGCTTTCCTTTTTAAGATCAGCAAGCACAAATGGTGGAAGTATTCCCTGAAGTGTCGTCTCGAAACGGACAGATTGTGAATACTGAGGGGCGAGTGGCAGAAACGCTGCAGTAGCACATGAAACCAGTGTGAAAGACTGAGCAAGATGATAATAAATGCACATATCCAGCACCACAGTAAATCTTATTAAAGTGTTCCTCTGGGAAAGGATTAGCAACAAGGAAATGTTTATGCTACTTATAAATCCCCAACTCCCCCCTTCCCAAAGATCTGAACTCAGAAGCAATCGTTTAGCTGCTAACAATCGTTTGGTAACCTCTGTTTAAAAGTAAGATGGCAATATGTCTCTAAGAGGCAATAGTATGGGAGAGCCCGTTTGGGAGATTCTTTGCTTTTCTTTTTACTTGAGTAATGGTTGTGTTAATGAAATCTCTTGTCTTATTTTGGTAGCTGATAGGATGATTGATATTCTGCCTAAGCATGCTTTCTGGAGCCTGTGCATAATGCAGTGGAATGCCTGATGTAGACTGAATTGTAGCCATATAGCCTGTGCCTAAAGAGCTGTAGTTCATAAACCGCCGAAACTGTTTGGAGACGGTGGGAGGAGAGAGTTGCTGGGTCAGGCATGTTTGGGATACCCATATGGAGGCTGAGAGGAGACTGGCCCTTCTTACGTCAAATGGACAATGTAATGTTGTTTTGTTGAACATTTTAATACTTTGCCCCAAACAAAAGCAAGCTGCCTTCAGCTCAGCGCATGCTGTTTGCCATTCCATCACACACACACATTCATACACACACAGTGCTGCATGTGTGCTTTTTACTCATGCTGCTACTCACTGCCATGGAAATGGGATTTTACCCCTAAATATGTGTATTGTCTAGGGGTCGTATCTCTCTGCACACTCGGAGACGCCTGGAGGCTGTCATGAATCTCTCCAGATAACAGCGGGGGGGGGTGGGGGGGGTCCTAAAGACAAAGCCTCTGCAACACACACTCTCTCTCTTAGACGGGAGGATCCCTGTCCTGCTGACCAACTCCAGTGTAATCTGTAGACAATATGTGCAGCAGTTCTGTCTTAGAGACAAACATCAACAAAAGCAAAGACGAGATTGAGTTTCAGTAATTGGCAGCTCTTTCATGGCACCTGATGAGTCTGCAATATGGTTATGTCCACTCTCAATTGCCAAATGACGTCTCCTTGTCTTACAGCCACACGTCTCCAAATGCCTCAGCAGTGGATCTGCTGACAGATTGTGCCCTATAAGGGGGGGTCTTTAAATCGCCTTAAAGCAATATTTCGGGTTATTCTTAATGTCTATGGACATCATCTGTGGCATGCTGTCAATTACCACATAAAGGGAAACAGTTATACATTTAAAGTAGTTTATTTTTTTTATTTCTGTCTTCCAGTGTTATTACTGTACAAGTGTAAAAGCATTTCTCATTAGTTTTCACAGACTTGAAAATACCAATGACTGCTAGCCACCAATGCAGTTTTATATATATATATATATATATATATATATATACACACTAGTCAAACATTTTTTGGTGAACAAACAGCATGGCACAAATGCTGCCCATAGACCTCAAACTTCACGATCATACTCGACCTCCCTTGATGCCATCCCGTTCTTCCTGAGCGCTTACAGTATGGATGCCGCCGGAACAGTTGCATGCCATGTGCCAGTTTGCCAATGCATGTACACACAAACCCCTCCCCCCATAAGCATGCAAAATAACTTGTGCCAAGAGTTGAGTAAGAGTGTGTGTGTGTGAGCTTGGATGCAGCCGTGCGTTTCTATGCTGCTGAACGGAGGAATGCAATTTCAGTGTTGTTCTACTGGCAAAAAGAGCTTTGGCAGTGATGGATGGCACAGCGCATTCTTCCTCTCAAGCAGATTCCCACAGGAGAGCAGATGGTGTTGCCCAGATCGCCCCCTGCAGGCTGAGCGGGCACTCGAGGGCAGATTACACCAGCGCATGGACAACAACAACTGCACATGCACCGTTACTGAATGCAATAACCACTCCTCCTACCCTCCAAAGTGACAATGCACTGAAATGTTACAATTGTGAATGTGCCAAACCCCCATGACTACTTTGCAAATGTATGTGCAGGTGTAACCGTTCTGTTTGCCAAATGCAAGATGATTTTACGTTTTTGAAAGACTTTCGTCTGTAACGAGAGATCATTTATAAATATAACTTGCACACTTTCCCCCCTAAAATTCCAAAGCACAACAATTCCAGGATGACAAAGTGTTCAGGTTCAGCGTGGGCAGGCTTGAAAGGACTGAGACCATTTCAATTGTGCTTTGGGATTTCATATTCATTACAGCTCTGCAAAGATTGCGTTTACTTATTTTTTTAAATTAATTTACTGAGAGCACTGTTCAACACCCAAGCATGTTCACAGCAAATCTTCTTTATAAGAAGACAGACATTTACACCTTTAATTGTGTAACCTCATTTGAAAGCAATTTATTTTTTGTTAGCCAAACATGCTAAAAGATACACTGAAATGAAGATGATCATCTGTAGATAGTATTACCAATAGAGGTTTTGTAATTATAAAGAAACTATTCATATATTGTTACGGTGCAGCTTGTTTATTAGCACGCTAGGAGGAGGAAAAAAAGAAGTTTCATATGACCCAGCCCTCGTTTTTTGTTCAGGGGCCAATTTGATGATTCCTGATTGGATAAATGAGGCTTATATTTTGGTGTATGCTTCTGCACTTCTTAATTTTGCAGAGGATATGGTTCAAATATTTCTGTACTGTTCTCTGTGTGCTTGTGCAAGTAGTTATATTTTTATTAATAAAAAAAATGGTGCATATGTTCTTAAAAAACATTTAAGTCTTATTTAATTCATTTGTGCTGCTTTGTTCATGTAAAGACAACAGTCACTTCTGAACACATTCTTTCAAATACATTTACTGACAACATCAAAAATGAATAAATCAAATCAGAACTCATTTGTTTTCTAGATAACCACTAAAAGAGTATTCAACGAAGAGTTATATATAATACAACTATATATAAAGAAAATAAAGTTTGCATATAGTTTATATATAATTATATTAAAAGATTATGCATTTCAAAAGGTATAAAGTACATTTGCTTACATCATGGCATATTTGTTGTACTGCCTTTAAATTAGGTTTTTTGATTATCAAAAATTATCTTTTTTGCTGAAAAAAAATCAGCATCACAATATTGAGAATTTCAAAGAAAACAAACTTTCATAATAATAATCAGGGGGGTTATTACAAAAATAACAATAATAAGGGGGATTTGGTCCTGATCACATAACACAGCTTGATTCCCATTAGATATCTAATGAAATGAAATCTGTGTGTTACCATAAATTCATTTCAAAGGTCTTTGCCCTTTATGGCCCTTTGCCCAGGGATTGGGGCTCAGATGTTTGAAAGATCCTCAAATCACAAGGCTAACTTCACTGCAAACGTGCACACTCCCAACACTACTGTGATGACCATATTCTTTGTAACATTACACAAGGGTGAAATACTCCATTGCTTGTCTTCATGCAAATTTAATTCATTTCTGTCATGTAATACCAGCTACACTGATTAAATACCATCGGCCATCAAAACCCCATCAGCAGTAATGCCGGCCGAATCCATAGACAACCAATCCGTCATTGGCAATCCGTCAATGACTACCTTCAGTTATTGCCAAGCATTTTCTATTTTAGCATTATTATTTTAAGATTAAGTGGATTATCTTCATAATGAGCAATGTGGAAAATAGAACATGACTTTCAGACACCGTGTGTGGATGACCTTGCCCTGCAGGAGACACTTCTGAGTCTGTATGTACGTACGCGCGCGCACACACACACACACACACACGAATAACACTGCCCTTCCTTGGTGCATTGTGAACTGCTGAGACAGGCAGTATAGAATGCCAAGATAAAAGAGCCTGCATGAAAACCACATTTTTTTCCAATTCATAGAATTAGATATTTCCATCCAAACAACCACTCTAGGTTTGGAGGACATTCTTTTAAATGGTAGTGTAAATAAAAGATTATTGAAGCAGGTTTTACTGTACAAGAATATACAACTTCAGTCTTGCTACTTCAAAATATCATGTTTTTATTCAATGTGTTACTTTTAATTATGAAATTTACCATTTCTGAGTGAAAAATTGCTTCAAAAATCCTATGCCAATTATATTAATTTACACAACATCTTAAAATTGTCTGTAAATTAACTACATTAAGTCTTTTTACAATAAACACACAAAGGAGAATACAGAAATTATTAAATACATATTAATAAAAATAAAACTGGAATAAATTATAATACATAACTGGAACTGCAAATTTGCAAAATCTCTTTAGTCAAAACTACTATTGATATTGGTTCAAAATTCAAAGCATTTTATATTAAATAGGATATTTTTAGATTGAGCTTGAATCATAATAGATAGAGAGGATGTCTGCGGGCATTCTGAGACATTGAAATAACCTTCCTTTACTCCTGATACCTCATTTGACCCCATTCCATTTTAATGGAACACTACTTATACCAAATCTGACACTATTATACACTCAGTGAGTTTTCATTGGCTGTTGCACCATGGAACCATCACAGAAAATGGAGAAAGAGAGTTTAATGATCCTTAAAATGGACACAAAAAAAGGGGGGGAGAAAATCTGGCCTTGCTCTAAAATAGCATATAATGGTTGTAGAAATGACCAGGGAATCATTTCAGAATGGCTTTTTTAAATGTGTCAGTTCAAACTATGCATTCAGAGAGATTATTGGCACTTTGTAACCTGTAACCTCATGATGTTTTGTTATTAGCACACTGACAATGGTTAGTACATAGAAACTACTTCTACAAAGACGTCAAATGCTCATAAAACCAAAAGAACCAAATCCAGGAAAAAACAAGTTACGCCACTTCTGCAGGTAGAGGATACATGTACTGTAGATGTACACAAGATAAAATTTGTTTTGAAAATAGTGCTGTTGTCAGAAATCTTTAGAGCAATATATTTGCATTACCATTGTTATAATATACTGCATGATTTTAAAATAACTGGCATTAAAAAATAATAGTTAAATATATTTGTGATATGAAAATTGAAGAAACTGGGAAAAGCTGACCAGAAAAGTTTTTGCATTACATCCTTTGTTGTTAAAAGTAATTTAAGTAAGTTTGTGTTCTGCAGGTTTCCTAACAAACTGAATGACTTTGGCAGGCCTTTTAGCTCATCTCATTTTAAAAAGACAAGCCATTCTAAAGCCATTTCCAGTCAAAGAAATATTTACAAGGAATAAATAAATAAAAACATTTATTATCCTCTCAATATCCAGACAAACATCTGCTGGAGAAGCGCTTCACTCTCTCTCAGATCAATCTCTGTCACAAGCCCTTCCTCGAGCCGTCTCGCTCTTCTCTCCTGTGTGTGTGGGAAGGACACTGCAGTAGCAGCTGGCTCCGTACAAGCACTCGCTCAGGGGACGGCGCTCGTGAAACGCGTGGGGGGTTACTGAAACACTTTCGCATCTGATGACGAGGAGAAGATAATTACATTCATTTAGTCATACTAAAGAATGCAATTATTCAGTCTAAAAGCAGAATTTTGCAGCAGACACAATGTGGGCGTCGATGACAAGTTCATCTGAATGCATTGCAGCTGAATAAGACAAACACGCAGAAATGACTTTTTTTTTTTAAATGTGACTAATACAGTAAATACTAACGTGTGGCATAAGTGCTGGGGTTGAGCCTTGCGATCCACCAGGTGGGGGTGTCAAGTGCGATCCGTGACAGAGGAGACCAGCAAGTGCATTGTGGGCCTCGGGACATACAATACACGGCCAATCATAGTGGACACGAGGCTTCAAGGACAACCACAGTCACTCAATGTGACAGAACAAGGTGCCTTCCAGCGTCCACACAAAACTGCCAGACAGAAGGGGAAAAAAAGCCACATAAAAAATAAAAAAACACCCCTTGTGGCATGCCAATATATCAGCTAATGCTCATGATTATAAATAGAACTCAGTTCTGTTCGGGAACGCTGCAGCTAATTCCCTCCGACCTTACAAAGGGCTTCTGCAGGGAAATGAAACGCGATGAATCTAATAATTCAATCCATAGTCCTGAATTGCACTACATTTACACTGTTCTCTAAATACAGTGAATGAGCTCCTGCTAATTACCAGCTGCATAATAATCAGTTCTCTAATCCAGTTCATTTGACTAGAGCATAACAGGAGACTGTGTATTATACTACATGTGTGGCAACTTATTCCCAAACGTATCTTCTCTCTAAACCTGCAAGAAATCCTATTAACTTTGCACCTACTTCAGATACATTGACCAACACCAGACTACTATACCCTCCAAATATGCGTTAAAAAACAAACAAACAAAAAATCCTTTTTAAAACATTCAGTGTTAAATCATGCACAATTTTTACAGTCAAATATCTCACTGATTTCTTGTAACCTTAACTCAATTTTATGAAAGCCATTATACGCATCTCTGTCATAACCATCTAAAATCTTTGCTCTTAATGTAATGACAAAAGTACTGCAGGTTTGATAAGTGATTTTCAAATTCACTCAAAAATATTCATATCGAAGATTTATTTTTCTAAACAATTCCCCCATTTCCAAAAAAAAAAAATCTGCAAAAAAAAAACTTAACAGGAAATTAAAGAGCTATAAATGTTATGCTTCCAATTTATTTAATTCATTTTTTTTCTCTCAAAACCTCATTAGAAGAATTTGCAAGGCATAACAAAAGATGTACATGTTCAACGAATAAAAGATTGTCTGATTCTTATTGTAATCTAATAAGATCTTTATAGTTGATCCCTGAGAATCTAAATGATTTTTATTTCATATTGACTTCAGCAGAAGTTTGCAGAGCAACTAGATCTGATTCCAGTCCTCTAGGGTGAGCCTCTTGAACACAGATGGCAGTTACGTACAGCACAGTCTGTACACCACAAAAACTGGCAAAGGCAAATTTGCAGTATTACATTCTTGAACTAATATTAAAAGACAATTCACTGCTTTTAATACAAGCATCTATCAGTCTCTACAACCAATATACCATCATGTGTAAATAGATTTTTACATTTTCTGAAGAAAGTGAATGGTGCTTGCTATTGCAAAACTCGCCACAGTGATGGTAGGGTGTTCTGGATTAAATTAATAAGCAGCTAATATAGGGTGATCTGGATGATAATAATATGCGGTTAATATAAGGTGTTCAGGGTGGCTACTGTTTTGAACCTCAATACTCCCTACCCTCAAGTGTACAATATTCTGGTCCCTAAAATATGGCTTGAGTCTGTCCTTCTACCTAAGTCTGTTCACCTATTTGGCCGATTTTATTATCCACCACACAGAAATCAGATCTTCTCAAACCACACAATTTGAGGACATTATATCCGCAGCAAACAGTGTGAGACGAACAACACACTGAAACTGTGAGCAACAGTAATGTGATGCTTAATAAGGAACTATAATATTACATTAGGTCAAAAATTGACCAGTCATTTCTCATTTAAAGGGATACTCCACTTTTTTGGAAATAGGCTCATTTTACAACTCCCCCAGAGTTAAACAGTTGAGTTTTACCGTTTTCCAATGCATTCAGACGATTTTCTGATATTTAGAAGAATATCAGTAACCAGACAGTTTCTGGTCTCATTGATTTCCATAGTATATTTTTTTTCCTACTATGGAAGTCAATGAGACCAGAAACTGTCTGGTTACTGATATTCTTCTAAATATCAGAAAATCGGCTGAATGGATTAGAAAATGGAAAAAACTCAACTGTTTAAATCTGAAGGAGTTGAAATATGAGCATATTTCCCCAAAAAAGTGGAGTATCCCTTTAATATCATCAGTGGTGGAATGTAACGAAGTACAAATACTTCGTTACTTTACTTAAGTACATTTTTCACGTATCTTTACTTTACTTAAGTTGTTGTGGAAATGATTCTCTGTTATTCGAAAAGATAGGAGGAAGAAGACAAGTGGAAACCTTTTCAAAAGTCAAAGTATCAAAAGTTTATTTTCTTGCAAGAAAACAAGTCCAATCGTTGGCGTTCAACATACAGAACAGTGTCTACATGTGAAGGCGAAGGCTAGTCCTTCTCCTCATCCTTATATACCTGAAAACCCAGGAAACCCATGCAGGCTAGGTCTGGTTTTGCTACGGATTGTCTCCTACACCCTCTAGCAAGGAAACCTGTTTGCGCTGCCTTTGACTATTCTTGTAGACCGTATTTTTAGTTTGGACAGCACAATGACGTTTGTGTTAAGTTTCCTATGTTCAAATTCAGCTTCACACCTCAATTTATCTCTTGGTTACAAGTTATGTTCGACCTCACACCTTTCTGCTCAATTTACCTCTTGGGTGCAAGTTCTGGTTTATCTGTTATTTGATCAAAACCCTGCACAAATATAACTCACACTTGAGATACAATGAGCTATTAAAATGTTTTCATGCTGCCTCACACTAAGCTTACATTACTTATGCATTTCTAACAGTTTAGTTATACCTTAAGCTTACTCTAACTTATGCATTTCTAACAGCTTGTTATATCTTTAACAATGTCCTTTGGATTACATGAACATCTTCCTTTAAATGCTTATGAGTATATGTTAGATGATATGAATAGTTTCCTTTAAATGCTCATGAGTATATCTTTTCCAACGTTAGTAAAAGTTACACACACATCTATCACATCTTAATGAAATAAAAGAAAACATAGTAAAGAAAATAAAGATCTTATATGAAAGAAAAGAAACTTGTATAAATGTAAATGCAAAATTAGCCATTACAAAGTACAATAAATAGTGCCTACTTTTTACTTTTACTTCGTTACATTTTGCAGCAATTATTATACTTTCTACTCCACTACATTTCTACAACTTCTGTTACATTTTCTGATCAGTTTTTCCCCTGACAAAACGTAATCTGACCGTCCGTTCGTTGCACGTTTGTCTCACCAGTGACGTTTGGTTGCCATAGATACAGTATATCAACCCGGTCACTAAATGCGTCTCACACGCAGTGTGTTTATCATGCAACTCATACGCGAAAATTAGTTTTTACGTGCATAGGAAACAAACCGTGTGTAATATATGTTTGGTTTGGTTAGGATTATGGCAAGCCAAGAGGTTCAGAATTAGACCATAAATGAATCGCGTTTACTGCCAAACATATTAACATATAGTAAGGATAAGCATGATATTGCCTAATTGCAAGCTTGTTTCAGAAATGATGACATTTTTTCCCATCATTATTGAACATCATTATAGGAGTAGGCTATTAGGTTGAATGAGTTAGAATTAAATGTTTTATTAATCATTAGAAAATAGACATTAAGATAATAAATTGTTATGCAAGTACTTTTACTTTTAATACTTAAAGTACATTTAAAATAAAGTACTTTTTACTTTTTACTTAAGTATGGTTGTCATTGTGTTACTTCTACTTTTACTAAAGTAAATATTTATCTGGGTATTTGTACTTTTACTTAAGTACTGAGATTCAGTACTTCCTCCACCACTGAATATCATTCTACCTTTCAACAAGACTAATGTCTTCCTAACATTCTGATGGCGAACCTGAGGACAAACACCAGTGAAATATGACGATTAAATATCACACAACTAAGATTAAGATCTAAAGGCGAATTCCCACTCTTTCAGAAATGTGATTTTTTTTCTTCCAACAGGAAGGGAATAAGTGGATGGAGAATGGGCTTGTCATTAGATCTTACAAGAGTTAGCCTATGTTTTTTCCCCCAAAGAGCACAATTAAGCCTTTTTCTGTCTACTGCATCATCACTCTTGTACAATTTCTCTCGTGAGGAGATGTTTCAGTAACTTCTTGTGTGAAACCTCATGAAGCAGCATATTTCTTTCATCAGCGGTGTAGAAGCCTTAGTGTGCAATGAAATAATCATCCGTGCCATTTAATCCAAGAGAATGCTCAATTCGTCCCACTTTCCTTTCTTCTTGGTTCAAAAGCACTCTGGCTGGATAAAATATTTACAGACAAGGGAACTTGTCAGGTAAGGTACTTTCTTTCATAAGACCACTCTTATCCACAAACCCCTGGCTTTCCCCAAACCCCCCAAAATCAGACCTACGCAACCCAGTGGAGTAAAACATCAAGGCTAAACTCTCAAACCTTCCCACCCTGTACTAAAGAGAGAGGCATACCAAATACCCTGTGGGCATCATTACACGCTAGCGTCGCCATCTCTGATTCCATATCTGAGACAACATTGACTCTCTGCTCTTCTAATGAGCGAACACACATGAGCAGTGAAACACACAGAGATGCAGAAATGTAAATGGCAGAAGAAAAGACTTACGGTTGGTTTTGGAACGAAGGCTCGTCCTGGGATGGTGAAACAGCTTCTGACAGTGCAGAGATATTGAGCCATGACAGAGAGACGACTTCGCTGACGGCTTCCAGTGCTGGCTGTTAACCGCTAAACATTAAACAGGGCACAAAGAGAACAAGATCTTTGTTTAAAAACCTTTAAATAAGACTAGATGTTTTAAGTCCTTTTTAATGCCACTCCAAATGAAATGCAAGACCAATATCTCATTCTAGGCATTTTCACCACAACTATTTCATCCTAAAACTGAAAATTACTCAAATATTTCAGGCTTCAGCTTAATGTCGTACTAAGCACCTTTTTTTAAAGATACTTTTTTCAGGATAGCAAACTGTTAACAAGTTAACTAAAAAATAAAATCTCATTCTCATATCAAAATGTTACTCCAAATGTTTTGTGTGATCAAATAAGTGTCTTATCAAGTGAAACGATCAGTCATTTAAAAACAACAACAACAAAGTTTACGTTTTATAAGCTCAAATGCTCGCATTGCTCTGTTCTGTGTGACTTCTGTTCAAACTCGTTCATCAAAATGAATGAATCTTTTTCAGAGTCAATTCGTTCATTTTGTTTGTTGAAACAACCAAATGAGTCAATGGGGGTAAGTAAATTATCAGCAAAAGTTTTTTTTTAACGTGAACTACTCTAAGTTACATGTTAAGGATCTGCAGACAACCTCTGATGCTCAAGTCCTCCGGGACAGTCTATCGACTGCAGTAGCTTCTACATGTCTTATAGTATATTCTTTCATTTTACTTTCACGATTTCTTTCCTGTGTGACTTATTATCACAAAGAGAAAATGTAACATGATAGATAGATGAGTAGATAGGATATAATGATCAATTTCATACAGCAAAAACGACTAGTTGTTGAGCCCTGTTGGACAGCTACAACTAAATTTGTAAACGAAACATTTTCAAACCTTGTTTATCGTGGTATTGTTCGGTTTGGAGGCGGTGTTGAACTTACTTCAGCCACCTCTTTCTGGAAGGTCAGTGTAAGCCTTGTGCGCCCAAACATAAAATACCCGGTTCGGTTGGACATCTGTTCCAGCCACTTTATAATGAGAGGAGTCGACACACTAAAGGGCAGGTTCCCAATGATATGCAGGTTGGGGGGAACTGAAACACACAAACTCATATCATACGCTGAAGAACCTTTCATACAACAACAGAGTACACAAATGACGTTACAGAGGAGAATACATGACCTTTGTTAAGCAGCCACTTATACCAACCAGAAGAGGATCCTGCTTTTGTTATTATGAAAATACAAACCAAATTCAGTTGCTGATCAATTAATACACAACCTCACTACATGCTATTATACACAGAAAAATGCATACATTCATAAGACTGAATACATTCAGGTAAGCTGACCTGAGAAGAAAGTGGTGGTTGTATCTTACGGTTCTTACAATGTACTGAACAGAGAGGCAAAATGGAAGGACTGGAGTGTACATTTTGAAAGAGTGGGTGTAATGTCTGATCCAAATTCTAGCAAGAACTGGCACCCAAAGCAAAGATTTGTGAAACGAGAGAACAGACAGATTAAAATAAAGTTAAGCTGCTGCATTTGGACACAGAAAATAACAAATGTGAGCCAATTTTCTCTTATTATAGAAAAACATTTTTATAATTTTACCAACCAATTATTTTTATGTTATTAAAATAATGACATTTCAGACAGGACTTTAGGAGTCCAACCAATTCTGTTCACATATTTAATATATAAAAAAAGCCTCCTCGGCACCCTAATCAAATATGAGCAAAATTATAGAAAATTATTGTGAAAAATTAATAAATATTCTACCTCAAAACTAGTTTCTCGAAATTACTGGCACACTTAGAAATTCTTAAGAGTAAAATCGAAGTCAATAATTGGGTCCTGGAGTGTCAATGTCCTGCGGAGTTTTGCTCCAATCCTAATCAAACACACCAGAACAAGCTAATCAATGTCTAAAACGCTAAAAGAAGTTGTCATGGCCATCCGTGTCCACTGTCCACTGACCAAAACCCAGTGGAAAACGTGGGACGAGCTAAAGAAGAAAGTATACATAGTGTGGATCTCTGAATCTGAAGGAATTCAGAAAGGGGAAAATAATCTGCCATATGTTCATCAACCTTATTACACATTAAAAGATTCAAAACTGTTATCTAAACCAAGGGAAATTAAACTGAAATATTAAAATTAAATAAGTGGAACACATTTATTAAAAAAAATGTTTTAGTGTAAGACTTTTGTGGATAAGAAGATAAAAAGCCAAGGCAATTTGCCACAATCTGTATTGCTCATATTTACCAAGGATGCCATAATTATTTATTGAAATTCATTGTAATGCTTACCATCGTCCCATGTCTTGGCTATGTGAGCTGGGAACCCTCTTTCCAGTCTGTGTGTGAGAATATCTCCATGTACAATCCTCATTCTTCCAGGGGCAGCCTCAGACAAAAGCTGAAAAACCAAAAGAAGAATATTAATGCTTATGAAGCCAATTAAAACAATAAACTAAATGACTGTCCCTGTAGAAGTAAGTAACGAGCACTGTAAGAAAAATTAGTAAAACAGTAATCATAGGTCTACAAGGTGTGGCACAGGTGTGATTCGGCCTCATCCACACGGACATGTGTCACAAAAAAAGAACGAGACTGTATTAGTCAGTGAACAGTAACTATAATCATAACTCAATCATAACTCAGTGCTCCTTCTGACTCAAGGCTTCTAGGCTAGACTACCACTTAGCACTGAATGCTAGAACGAGACGCTCTAGTAAGTCCACTGGCCACGTCAAGGTTTCCCCCACCTGCGCTCACAGTGCAAAAAAAAATAAATAATATATATATATATATTTTTTCTGACTTTCTATCAATGCAATATAGTGAATGACAACCACCTGTGGTCTCCAAATGATTTACATCATGGACAGTTTAGCATATAGAGATTGATTAATGTCGAACACAACGAAAGAAAACAATGCCTTCTTGCATTTCATAATGCTTGCGAGCTTAGTGCTGCTTTTTTACCTATTATTTTTCATGAATCGCAATAAGCACAAAATATTGTGGATGTACAGGATACACTTGATAGAGTACATCCTTCAAAATATGCAGAATGAAGGCCTTGAAACGAAAGCTGCATTTCAAGGATACTTCCATTTAAGACGAGCTTAAGCTCTGTGTGATGACACTACGCAGCTTTACTGGGATGGAGCTTTCAGGTTCTTTTTTTAAATGAACACTGTTGATACAGTGGGGCCAAAAAGTATTTAGTTAGCCACTGACTGTGCAAGTTCTCCTACTTAGAATGATGAGAGAGGTCTGTAATTTTCATCATAGGTACACTTCAACTGAGAGACAAAATGAGAAAAAAAAAATCCAGGAAATCACATTGTAGGATTTTTAAAGAATTTATTAGTAAATTATGGTGGAAAATAAGTATTTGGTCACCCACAAACCAGCAAGATTTCTGGCTCTCACAGACCTGTAACTTCTTCTTTAACCCTCAGGTGCTCTTCGGTCATTTCTGACCGAAAAAATTTATGTTTTGAAATGTTAAAAATCACAGCTTCATCGGAATGTTACGAAACTTGGTGACTTTTATTCCATTGGGTATGTGAACACACAAAAAAAATTGAGGTCATGATCCGAGCATGCTAAGTGGTCGTAAAAAAAATAGTCACACTTGTGTCTTCGGTCAAAAATGACCGACCACAGGAAATGAATGGGAAATTGACAAAAACACAAAAACTTTTGAGAATTTTTGTGTGTACAATCTACAAATCGGCCACGATGCAGAAAAAAAAGTGCTCAGCATTGAAGGGGTGACACTCTAAAACATCAAGAGTGCAAAACAGACATACCCCCCCCCCCACACACACACACACACACACTTTTATACACAAAAACACCAATAAATTGTGATTAAAAAATCTGTTTTGAATTTCTAAAAAAATCACTGCTTCATTAGAAAATTACGAAACTTCGTGACTTTTATGGCAACATGTATGTGAACACACAAAAAAATTGAGGTCATGATTCGAGCACTTTAAGTGGTCGTAAAAAAATGAGATACACTTCTGCTCTTCTGTCAAACATGACCGACCATAGGAGATGAATGGGAAATTGACAAAAACAACAATCTACAACTTCAAACTACAATTTGCAATCTACAAATTGGCCATGATGCAGAAAAAAGTGCTCCCAACAATAAAGGGGTGACACTCTAAAACATCAAGATTGTGATATTGACACACTCACCCACACTCACAAACAGACGCACACACGCACAAATAAACACACACCTATATGAACCACTGTGTCTGTAATAGAGCAATGTTGTGAGAATATGTGAAATCTATTCAATAATTCAGTCATAATGCAGGAAAAGCTCACAGCAGTGAAGGGGTGACACTAACTTCAATACTTAAATTAACACCTATAACAAAAAAAAATAAGTAAACGTGTCCATGAACAGCTGGGAAATTCACATGCCTCTCCATAGAGAACTGTACATTTCATCTAGTGGTTACAACATGGTTCTACGCTTTCTCTCCATACTCTTACCAGATGGCGCTAATCTGCCTTCAAACATTTTTTTGGAAGGCCTAGTCTCTATTTTAACCTAAAATACTGCTTAAAAAAATAAAATAAAAAATGTATATATAAAAAAAAGTTTGTATTATTTTCAATGGCAAAAATGGACCATAAATATTGCATAAATATTAATAAGTAACATCAAATCTAAAAGTTAAAAAGAAAAAATATAACTGAACAAAAATAAATTGCATTGGTTTTACTGGGATGGAGAAAGTTTCATTTTTAGGTGTCCGGTCACTTTTGACTGGGAAGATAACAAGTGTGACTCCGAAACGAAGAGCACCTGAGGGTTAAGAAGCTCTTCGGTCCTCCACTCGTTACCTGTATTATTGGCACCTGTTTGAACCCGTTATCTGGATAAAACACCTGTCCACAGCCTCGAACAGTCACACTCCAAACTCAAACAAGACCAAAGAGCTGTCGAAGGACACCAGGAAGAACATTGGAGACCTGCACCAGGCTGGGAAGAGGGAATCTACAATAGGCAAGCAGCTTGGTGTGAAAAATCAACTGTGGGAGCAATTTAAAAAAATGGAAGACATACAAGACCACTGATAATCTCCCTCGATCTGGGGCTCCACGCAAGACCTCATCCCGTGGGGTCAAAATGATCATGAGAATGGTGAGCAAAAATCCCTGAACTACACGGAGGGACCTGATGAATGACCTGCAGAGAGCTGGGACCAAAGTAACAAAGACTACCATAAGTAACACACTACACCGAGAGGGACTCAAATCCTGCAGTGCCTGGCGTGTCCCCCTGCTTAAGCCAGTACTTGTCCATGTCCGTCTGAAGTTTGCCAGAGAGCATACGGATGATCCAAAAGAGGATTGGGAGAATATCATGTGGTCAGATGAAACCAAAATAGAACTTTTTGTTAAAAACTCAACTCGTCGTTTTTGGAGGAAGAAGAATGCAGAGTTGCGTCCCAAGAACACAATACCTACTGTGAAGCATGGGGGAGGAAACATCATACTTTGGGGCTGTTTTTCTGCAAAGGGGACAGGAAAACTGATCCGTGTTGAGGGAAGAATGAACGGGGCCATGTATCGTGAGATTTTCAGCCAAAACCTCCTTTCATCAGTGAGAGCCTTGAAGATGAAACGTGGCTGGATCTTCCAGCATGACAATGATCCCAAACACACCGCCCGGGTGACGAAGGAGTGGCTCCGTAAAAAGCATTTCAAGGTCCTGGAGTGGCCTAGCCAGTCACCAGACCTCAACCCCATAGAAAATTTATAGAGGGAGTTGAAAGTCCGCGTTCTCCAGCGTCAGCCCAGAAACATCACTGCTCTAGAGGAGATCTGCATGGAGGAATGGGCCAAAATAACAGCAAACCTGGTGAAGACTTACAGGAAACTTTTGACCTCTGTCATTGCCAACAAAGGTTATGTTACAAAGTATTGGGTTGAACTTTTGTTATTGACCAAATACTTATTTTCCACCATAAGTTACAAATAAATTCTTTAAAAATCCTACAATGTGATTTCCTGGATTTAATTTTTTTTTTCCATTTTGTCTCTCATAGTTAAAGTGTACCTATGATGAAAATTACAGACCGCTCTCATCATTTTAAGAAGGAGAACTTGCACAATCAGTGGCTGACTAAATACTTTTTGGCTGCACTAATCTTCATATCTAATGAATTGAAGAATGGCCAATGCATATTGTAATGCCACTTTATGTAATAAAAGTTAATGATAGCACAACATTAACCCTTTATGCACCATTCGTTTTTAATGACCCCAGGCAATAAAATTAGATTTTTACTTTTATATGAATAAATGTAAGAATATTTTTTAAAATAGCTTTAATAAAAAAAATAAAATAAAAAAATCGTCCTATGTAAAATTAACTTTAGAAAAGTTTTCATTTGTGGACAATGTGCCCTGGTTTAAAGGTCGTGTAGGTAGTAATTTTATAAAAAAAACTTTTTTCCAAATTTATTTAAACTTTTTATATACATCAATGCATAATTAAAATCTAAGTACTCTGATAAAATGAGTATAAAAATCGAGTGACTCTAGACCGTTTAATCTGCACTAAACACAGCTCATTATTTCAAACCGGGACGAAACAATGGATTGGCCTAGGCAACTCTCCCGCAACCATGGCAACCACCCTTTTGCCACACAGGCCCTGCCCATTTGCGCATATCCAGATACCTGTTCACATGCCCTTGTTTGAGCTTGAAGATGCAAAACTTGACGCAGGTCCTCTTTTCCAAGAAGTGCTCCTTGCCCTGCACTTCGACCACCCCGTCCTCGGCCTCTACTTCCTCGGACCCTAGTTGCACGGCCTCTTGCATCTGTCCTCGAGCTGACGATGCGGTAGGCTACTTGTCTCTGGAGTGTCAACATGACTTTTGCGTAAACATACACGCCACTTTTAAGTCAAGTGGTGTGTTATCTATACACATTTTGAGCTATCTGCATGTATGCGTGTGTGTACAAGCCGTTAAATGTCCGAGCGAAACGAAGCAAAATGTAGATCTACATCTGGGGAGCGATATTTTTTTCCTAGGATGGTAGGGGAAGACATAAATGCTATTAACCCCACTGTCCTTATCAGAGTCAACAATGCTTTCATCATGGAAACTCTTACATCCCGAACACCATATACGCTATGAATCTTACACAAAATTCATCTTGATCACTGTGTAAATGATGGCAATGGAGAAACGTGTATCATGCAAATTGTTTTTAGCTTTGCCTTAGGCTATAGATGACTAGCTTGTTATCGAATCAATAAATATATTACTATATAATTTAAAACTTTACTAATAGCTTGACAGTGAGTACTAAAATACATCTTATTTGTTTATCTTCATAATTATAAAGATAGATTTTTTATTACATGTGGTTCTGACATGATGTCACTACATGCACTGCGCTCCTTCCTGTCCGCTCGTCTCAGGTAAATAATGCGTCTTCAGCTCAGCTGTCGGAGTTCATGTGTTTTGGGGGCGTGGCTTTGGAAGGAGCCCAGAAGGGAGGGGGTGAAGTGAGCTGGTAAGTCCCGCCCATCCATAAAACTCCCGAGTGGACCTCTAGGTTGAAAAAGCGTCAATGCAAGTGAATGAGAGAAAATTATTATTTTCTGATCCTGTTTGAATTGTACCATGAATGTAGTGACATCGTGTCAGAACCACATGTAATAAAAAATCTATCTTTATAATTATGAAGATAAACAAATATGTATTAATGTTGTCTGTGAATTTTTTATATAATGTCTACACAAAGACTACACGTCACATATGTGACGTCACCGCATAACACATTTTCCCTCCACAAATCACGGTGCGATAATCTAAGGAATTAGATCGAGATGCCTGTGTGTTTTGTACCCAAATGTCACCATTCAAACAATGGTTTGTTTAGCGGGATCCGTGTGCTAGTGGTGGTGACGTATATCAATCGCGTCGAAAGCAGGAAGAGTTGTAGTCCACAAAGTGCTCTCACACAAAGTCTAACCATATGAAAATTCTACCAGCTAAATTGTAGCATTCTTTACACGAAATTTTATATAAAAAAATTCACAGACAACATATGTTCACATTCATTGCAAAATTCAAATGGGATTAGAAAATAATTATTTTCTCTCAATCACTTGCATTGACGATTTTTCAACCTAGAGGTCCAGCAGGGTTAACTACAAGTTCTACAAACACTCGATTTTTATACTTTCTTTTTCAGATTACTTATATTTTAATTACGCATTGATATATACAGAAAGTTTAAACAAATTTGGAAAAGAGTTTTTTTATATCTATATAATTCCAGCCTACAATACCTTTAATGTCTGTCTGGAGAACAAACTTTTAAAATTAAAATAACATGAAACTTCAACTACAGCCAATAGAGGGCTTCAAAGCATTACTGCCATTTCCTCAAGGCTATAAATCTTTTCACAAGTTTTTTTTTTTTTTTAATTTACATTTAGACATAATAAAATAATATTTTTTTTACTCCGAATAGTATGGGTTATGCACAATTGTTGTACACAACATTGCAAAAATAATACAAATTAACACTACTTATTTAAAACTATACATTTCTTTAAAATGAATAATTAAATTAAAAAATACATTGTCCTGGTTTCAAATTTTGGAAAAAAAGTACACTAAGTTGAATGAACACTTCTGTCTGCCAGTTATCAGCTGGTGTCAATCTAAAAAATGGCCACATATTGGGCATGACCAATTTATCGCTCTACCAAATACATTAATGTGCAAACCTGTAATCCTGGCATGAAGCGTGTGTCCTTCTCCACCACTAATAAGTCTGCGGCTCCAGCTTTTAGAATAGACCTGGTGAGACCTCCAGGTCCAGGTCCAACCTCACACACATGCGCATCCTTCAGGTTTCCAGCCTGCCGGACAATCTTATCTGAAATACAATCCATTTTGTTTAAAGTTTACATTTAGTCTGCACATTGAAATCCATCAAGTCTTGCTAACACATTCAGAAATAGAGTAGTTTGGCGTACCTGTGAGTCGCATGTCGAGGAGGAAGTTCTGAGAAAGTTGTTTCTCGGCTCTCAGGTTATACAGTTTGATAATCTCCCCTATGGTAGGCAGGGGGGGTAACCGATAACTGGCCAGTTTCTGTGTCGCTGCCATCGGACATGAGCCTCCCCTCAATCACAGTGGGGATTCAAGAGTCTATTGAGCAAAATTTGAGTTGTATTAGAAATTTAACACGATTTTCAGAATTTCTTAGTATTTGGCATGTTCCCCTTTTGCTTTAATGACATGCACTCAAAGAGACATGGACATCACAAACTTCTTTGTGTCATCAGAATATGATTTCAGCATACAACTTTTCATTATAAGATAAAATCCCAGATGTGGTCTCAGACTTCTGTTGAGAACCCAGCCGTTCTGTTGCACAAAGAAAACCAGTATTCTCAAGTATGTTCATCCTGACCTGTAGTATCACAAGGCTTCCTCATGTCCCGGGACCTCAAGACTCATCCAGAGGATAGTCTCCATTCAATTCCTAATATTCGAGCAGCACCTTGTGGTAAATAATCTGAACTGCAGCGACTTTGAGTCAAACTGTCGATTTAATACTTCAACTGACATTATTAATGGTAAAATAATATACATAGCTGTTTCTGAATTTTCATGTTTGGTTTAATTCAAATATATAACTATAATTCACCAACGGAACTCTGCGGCATTTAACGACTAACTTAAGTTAACGTTAGTCTGCCCTGGCTCAGAGCACTCTTGCTTGGATAAAGCGTAACTGTTAGTGCTATAGCATACTGTAAGTATTTGTATGAAAGCAAGGCATACATCCCTGGTTGAGAAATTTATAGAAAAGACTGCATGTTAGATTCTAACGTTAGCTGCTACCAGATACTAGTAAAAAGACTCCGCTATGCTAACAAGACAACGCGGTGTCTCTGTTTCGTCCATTTAAAATGTGTTTTAAAAATAAATTGTATTTCTTACTAAACAACATTATTAAACAACATCTATCTTCAATAAGAACACCGCTGTTTTAAGCCAAAATACAACACAAACAGGAAACACGTTTTCCTCACCAGTGCAGCTGTCTTCCGATAGCGGAGGCGGTAACCACGACGCTATAGTCATTTCATCCAATGAGATGTCTACAATGATCAAACTAACCAATCATGTCGAAAGGGGGCGGGGATTTTTGGTGCCCTTGAAAATGTGTAATTTGACGTCGAGAAGTTTTACAGACACCGTTCCTATTTGTTGTAGTCTATATTTGTTTAACTATTTGACACGACCCGTTATGAAAGAGTGTGGACACTTATGCAGACAGGTTAGGTTTTTATTTTTTTCCTCCCCTTAACAGCTATTTGTTTGTTACATTCATTTTATTAGTTTCAATTTTACATTAAAGGTTAAAAAGGATCTGTCCTGATTCATGATTCTCAGCATGTAATAAACAATTGCTCGCTTTACTGTCTTTAGTTTCCTAATACAAATAATGTTCAACCAGTAAACCAGCTGTAAATAATCTAATTTACAGTTATTGAAACTGCTTCTGTAACTGTGGAATTTTATCGTTTATTTATAATTATATGTATTGTTGTATTTTTGTTGTCTTATAAATATAATTTTGAACATTGCCTACTTTCTGTAAATAAAGTTTGAAAAGGGGCACTTTTTTTTACAGAACTGTCACTTACAAATATTGTAATAAAAAACATCTTTCAAATTCATTTTCATGTTTATTATCTCATATAGTTTGATCAAATTAAAACTTTACAGATCCAATTAATTCAAATATTTGACACATTAAAACTATTTTTTTTTATTCCAATTGTAAATTAACAAACGGTAACAAATGTAAAAAAAACAACAAAACAAAACATGTAATACAGCTGACAAAATACAGTTGTAGTGCAAAAAGCATACACATTATTTCTGAATGTCAGGCCAAACTCTTGTGTTCAGGAAACGCCACGGTGCTTTGTAAATGGTTTCTTTAACATCCTCCCCAAGTCAGTCTGGCCACATGATCAGTTTTCTGTTTTGTTGATTTAACAAAGCCAAGAAATTCCATTTCAGAAACAGCCTGAATGAAACGAGCACTGTGAATGTTAAGAACAATACGTATAAGAAATGTGCTTTCATAAAAAGGAAAGTAAGAGTGTACATTTACAGTCTGTTCTTTTATGAGTCGCATGCTTTTACCTTAAACACAGTCTCTAAAGAATGCATCAACAGTACTTTTTAAAAGTAATAATCCAATGTATTATATTAAGATCAACACTTTTCATAACTAAAACCAAGAAACATGTCAAAAAAGGATACTGCTTCAGGCTGTCAAATTTGCCATTCTCCTCCGAATCAGCATCTTTGTCCTCAGCAGCTGACATCACAGTTACAAATGCCTGGCAATATCACAAACAATGACAGGTTACATCCACACGGTTAGAAAAAGATAACCCACCTCTATACGTGATTTTGATTTAGCATGTTCATACCTCAAGCCAGTCATATAGATTTATGAGTCTTCCACACTCGAGATGAAGCTTGTACACGATGCAGAGGTCTGGAGCAGCACTGGAGATTGTGCCAGCATTCGTTTTCAGGCTTTCATTCTGCAGCAAACAAACACAGCAAAAATAATAAGACAGCTATTTTGAAGATTTTTTTTTTTTTTTGGATGAATCTTCCCTTTAATGTACTCAATCTGTGACTTAAAAGTGAAGTTTAAAAGTTATTGAACGAGTATGTTAGCCAGCTTGGCCTTAAGTTATTTAAATTTTATAATAATAATAATAACTTTTATTTATAGGCGCCTTTCAAGGCACTCAAGGACACCGTACAGCATAAAAGCAAATCAGTAAAATACAAAGCTATGCAAAAACAGACATACAGATCAGGCATGCAATCAAACAATAAAGTTTATAACCTAATGTGCTCCAAAACAATGACAAAATTCACATTTAGTGGATATATGTGTTGAAAATTGACAGTTTCTATGCACCACCACTGCGGATCAAAACCTTTGACATTAGGGCTATAACGTATGACGATATATATATATAAAATGTCTATAGTTAGAGATTCTGCTATATCGTGTATATCGCGGTATGTAAATATATAGCACTATTGACACTTCAGAGTGATGAAATGCATGAATGAGAATATAAAGAGTGGATATGCTTGATGTTAAAACAGTTATTAGTTATTAGTACAATAAGGCCATGAGTCCACCAAAGCGTTTTTCCACGCGCCTGGTGTATGTTTAATTGTTTTCAATGGGAGCGCCACGTTTTTTAAACGCCATGAGCATAGCGCTGAGTGTTTTTTTCACGCTGAAGCGCCGAGAGCCCAGCGTTTTTTACTGGTTGCCGAGAGTTGAAAAGTGTTGAACTTTGGATAAAACGCAGCGCTCATCACGGTCTACTTTTTACCCAGCTGTCCAATCACAGTGTAGGAGGGGCGGGACTAATACAACACCGACCAACTGTCACAACATTCTTTCTGTACAACAACATCAACCAGAAGAGCTAACCAAATAAAATGGATGAAAAATAAATTTTTAGAATGAAACAAATTATCTACGAAAAATGCTGCGCTTCGAGAATGCTCTCAAGCGCCCAAAGCACGGCGTCTTCAGCAGAGCGTCTGGTGTTTTCAGCTGGCTAAAAATGCTTTGGTGGACACACGGCCTAAGTCAGCTGTGCTGTTAGTTTCAAGTAGGCATGTCTGTGTATGGATTTCTGCTTGCATTCACATTGGTAGTTAAAAAAAATCTAATGTTGCAACACTTTAGATGAATTCTTCATTGCAATTAAAGTTTCTGAAATTCACATTGCATTACCTTTCATATCTATACAGCGATGCTTTCCAATTATGCACCTATTCCAAAATGCATCAATGGACGCTCACTAAATGGGGAGTATGACTTCAGCTTTATCAAGTGGACCTGATTGACACCTATAGAAGCTACCCTATCTCACGACCAATTCGTACGAATTCGTACGAGTGATTCAAAAGTGGCTAATTCGTACTAATTCATACGACCTCACTCGTACAAATTTGTACGATTTGTCTAAACCCACGTGACGGTTATGTTTAGGGGCGGGGTTAGGGGTTGGTCATTCGTACGAATTCATACGAATTGACTAATTCGTAAAATATGTACGATTTAGCTAAATCGTACTAATTCGTACAAGTGAGTTCGTACGAATTGTTACGAATTAGCCACCTCATAAAATTCGTACGAATTCCCGTGAGATCGGGTTGATAGAAGCCATTCACAAGAAGCTTTTGCTGATGTTTTGGGGGTCCTTATACCTTTGAGTTTGGGAAGCTCTCACAATACAACATATTGGCTAATGAAAATATAGGCCAGAAATTAAGATTGGAATTTAAAGGAAAACCACTGGTTAGTCAGAGCGAGAGGTCCGTTACCTGCAGGTAGTGGAAAGGATGACTGAGAGCCGTCTGAATGGATGTGCGAGGGGCGACATTGAGTCGCTGTCGCAGGACCCCTGAGGAACTGTAGTAGCACACTTCACTGAGTGGCTGGAGATCTGCTGGAGTCAGGTATTCTCTGAACAGAGGCCCACAAACTTTTTGTGAGATGAGCAAATAATTATCATATAAGAGTTGTGTTGTCTCCTTACCTCACAAGGCTGTCGATAAACTCGATCACTTGGCTTCGAAGCACTTCATATGGATTCATTCTCTTGGTCCTTCGGGACTCTTTTCCGAGCAGCGTCTGCACATAGAATCATGTCAATGGTTCATTTGAAATCCACCAATACTATTTTTCCAAAGCTGAACCAAAGTACTTGATATATAGTATTATTAGGGCCAGTTAAACGCGTTATTAACGGCGTTAACGTAAACCCATTTTGTGTTCATTTTTTTAATTGCAAGATTAATGGTCTTTTTGGCCTAGCAAATTTTGTAGTTTTTTTTAACAAGTCATTTCAATGGCTTGCACCGCGCGAGGACGCTTTGTTGCTTCGTCGACCAAAGCGCAAGTGGATCTAGCTAGACCGGAAACAAAACAACAGGCAGGCCGCACACACTTGTTTAGGCTTGTGAGCTGGCCAAATAGTTGGTTAACGTTACGTTTTGAGTGGATGACGAGCCTGAGACGCTGAAATGGATGCCAATAAGATTCTGAATGGAAAGTTTACTTTAAAAAAGTTGCCAAATGATTCCATTGACAAGACCAAAGTGATCTATGTGTTTTGTTGTTGTAAATTGAGCTATCATCATTGCAGCACGTCCAGTCTGAAATACCACTTAATGATGGCCAAGCACACACACACAGCTGATGCGAATTCTCCGCCCCCTCATCAATATCAAGATATCTCAGTATTTCTTTCACCCTTTTATAGATGGACAGTGATACATTAAGAGATTATTTGCTCCAAGTTAGAATGTTAGTGTGAAACTGAACACTGTATATGCCAATGTTGTTTTCAATAAAAAAAAAACATTTGCAAAAAGCAAGCCGATCCCCTTTTACATGTTGATGAGAGCATTAAAATAAGAAAAAAATGGGACAAAATAAATCAAGAGACAGAAAAAAATGTGCGATTAATCACAAGATAACTAAGACATTAATGCGATAAATTGCGATTAAATATTTGAATCGTTTGACAGCACTAAGTATTACATATAGTGTTGCCATGATACCAACATTTCAGTAGAGTTACTAGGGCTGTGTATCACATAAGCCCCTTTCACACAGAGATTCCAGAAAATACACGGATAATGTGACCCAGCATTTGTCCCGGGACTGTTTGATTTCGGTTCATTCACACTGCAAGTGATTTGCCGGGATCTGTGAGTGCGTTCACACACAACCCGTAAAAATCCCGGGAAGACACATGACGTCAGGATGAGACGTATAACGGACGCGTCGAAAACATGTACACGGGCATACCGTTCCACAAAGCTGGTGAACGA